CCAGCTGCAACATTTTTCCTACCTCTAAATGACTAACTTATCTAAGAAAGAAGCACTGGAAAAGGTTTTTGTCCTCCGTAGGTAAAATTATCTGAAGCTATTCCTAGTCGGATTATTGTTTTGTGTTGTTAAAAAGAATTATTGAATTCAGAAATCACTCATCTGTTGTAAACTTTCAATGAATTCCTAAATTTTTTTTTTGACATTTATTTATTTTTGTTGGAAAGGCCTATGTTACAGAGGGAAGGGGAAACAGAGAGAAAGATCTCCCATCCACTGGTTTACTCCCCTAAGTGGGTGCAATGACCAGAATTGAGTCAATCCAAAGCTAGGAGTCAGGAGCTTCTGAGACTCCCACACAGGTACAGGGTCCCAAGGCTTTGGGCCATCCTCTGGTGCTTTCCCAGGCCATAAGCAGGGAACTGGATGGGAAGTGGAACAACCAGTACATGAACTGATGTCCATATGAGATCTCAGTGGTTGCAGGGGGTGGGGGAAGCTAAGCCAATCCAGCTATCATACTGGACCCTGAATTCCAAAATTCTAATATTCAGGCACTGCTTTTTTTTTTTTAAGATTTATGTTTTATTTTTATTGGAAAGGCGGATATACAGAGAAGAGAGACAAAGAGGAAGATCCTCCCTCTGATGATTCACTCCCCCAGGCGGCTGCAAGGCGAGGACCCTAACCATTGCGCCATTGCACCAGGCCGGGCACTGCTTTTATACCAAAAACTTAAGTCCTTGAAAGTTTTTTTTTTTTTTTGTCATTTAATTAATCAGAGGATTCTATCTCCTCTTAAGACTACCTGAATGCATCAGATGCCAAAATGTCGTCATAGAAAGAACTGAATTTTTTGAAGGTGCTTTGAAGAAGTATGTACCAATACACTAGGTATTTCCAGGAAAAAGAAAATGCAAGAACAAAAAATTCAATCAGGTATTCAACATGAGGAAAGTTGTGTTTTTTGATGACCTGCTTGGTAGGAAGGAAAACGGGACACACACATCACACCCGCTCCCCTGTCTTAGACTTTCTTTCTAATAGATAATATGGAAACAATTTGTCTTTCCTATGAACACTTTCTCTGGGTAGTGGTTCTGCTTTTGTCTCTGAGATGTTGTTCTTTCTCTCCTAAATAGCGCAGATTTTGTCATTGGGAATGAAGAGTAGAACGGAGTTAGGCATTTTGGTTTCTAGCTCAGGCTACAAGTCTCAGACTTATGGTGCAATTTTGAAAAAGTCACATCATTCTTTCATGTCTCACTTGTCATATCTGTAAAATAAGATGGCTGGATTAAAAATCTTTTGGCTTTTTGTTTTTGTTGATATTTTATGATTCACGATTTTCACTGAGACTACTCTTGTCAGTAGGCCATTTTGTTTTACTACAAGAATGGCAATAATTATGTATTTGGAGTTGACTCAAACAGCAACCCAGTTATGAAAACTCTGAGCACTTTGGATTGATACAAACACCATTCTGTTTATTGTGGATACTTTCTACAGCTTGGCGAATGATAGCCACTTCAGAATTCCTAAGAATAAAGGCACGTTGTAACTTCCACCTAGACATTCATATCTTTGGACAGCATGTGTTTCAAAATCAGCTTGCACTGTGGCTCCTTCTTGGCCAGAAAGGTGATCTTCTTCCCTGATAAAAGCCCACTGCTTTCTGTCCAGTACTCACCCAAAGCCCAGAATCTGATCACTGTACTTATCTCAGGCCCTTCAGCTGCCCTGCATTTGTAAACCTCTCACATGTTTACTTTTTAACTCCTGCTATTTCAGATAATGTGCTGGGTGCTGTTCTGTATTCTTGGGAGAAACCAGGGGACTCACAGTTTGGGATTAGTGAGCAAAGACAGACAAGCCATGCGGGTGCCGCTCGAGCTGTGTCTGTTGCCCACCCATTGTCTCTGTGTATTAGGCTTGTTGGTCTGAAAGACACTGGCCAGATGCAGGCTATCTGGACCCCTGTTATTTTGTATGTCTCTTCTCACCTTCAGCATGATCTGGGCTGATGTTTTCATTTGTTAAAAACAACAAGAACATTCACTGGGAAAATTTTGCTGGAATCTTTTCAGGTCATCATAGCTATTTATCTCCTATCATAAACTATAATTCTCCATTTCCCTTCCTCCCACGTCAAGGGAGTTAGTGGTTTACGGTGGACAGGCAGCAGAATTTGAGTGAACAGTGGAAGAGTTCAAAGAGCTACTGAGAGCTTATGGAGCAGGTTGTAGTACTAAGAGCAAAACATAAAATACTCTGGGTTTTAATCAGTTTGGCGGTACAAGAAGAACTAGGCTTGTAAAATTGCGTAAAGGATTTGTGGTCATACCTGAGAAAGAGCTTAGATGCGAAACAACAAATCAGGGGGTTGGCTTAGCAGGGAAATTCCTTATATGGTTAAAAGTACCAGCCTAGCGCATATCCAATTTGTTTCAGTTTGGTGAAGTGTGGGTTTGCTGACTTCTATTTTCCACGGACCTGGCATTCAGGTTCTGATGCCATCACACAGGTCGGGATGACCCAGAAGGACCTGAAGGACAAGGCATGCACTGGGCCTTCCAAAAATTTGTGCAAAAAGGGAATGAAAAGAGTTTGTATGTTTTCCATGAGCTTTTTAAAGCCTTTTGTAGAATTGCACACAGACAATCTTGGGGAAATATATAGGGGATTAAGGAGACGGATTCTAAATATTTGACTGGAAGAACAAAAAAAGTGCAAGACAGTTGCTACAAGGCATTTGTACTAGGGTTGTGAGTCGTCCTATTGCTGCTATTGTCAATTAATTTTGTAGTAGTTAAAGAGAAATGTACTCGGTGGCATTGATAGATTGCAAGAATTAGATTTGAACTGGCCTCTATCTCAGCAAGAAACGAATCTAGCACTCTTACTCAGCGTGTCACACAATGCGTTTGAAAGCAGGATTCCTAGTTGTGGCAGTGCAAACTTGATAAACGGAAAAGGTAACCGAGCTACCATGAATCGCAGAGCTTAGAGGTATGCACCTGCTCGGCTGGAGAATCTGGCTGAGCGCTGCCATTATGCTTTCTTTTCCCACAGAAAGTTTTCTAAGGACAAGAACAGTTTCACGGTTCTTCTAAAAACAAATGCAATAAGCCCTTACTATATCCAGGTGTTTTAATGCTCAGGAGGAAATGTACAGTCTCTAGTCCCAGCTCCAAAAGCATTTTTGATGAAGCAGTATTGAGAAAAAGAAGCAGCTCTGCACATACACACAAAAAAATTAATAATAAAAAATAAGAGTCCTCATTACAGAGCTATCCAGGATAGGAGCGTTTAGATTCAAAGTACACATTGAATCCCCACACATCTTCTTAATTTATAATAAGGATAGTATTATTTCAAAGCTAAGTGTCATTATTCTTAGGATATCAAAATTTGTGCAAGCGGTTTTGTTGCATGTGTTCTGTTTACAATAAGAAGGGCTGAGAGACTCACATGTTAGAAAGAAAGCTGAGAGCTACTTTCTTTGAATGTGGACAAAGGACTCATGTTGGCTACCCTCACTCCAGTTCTTCACTATTTTCTCTGGGTTGAGTCTCTTTGGAAGAAGCTATTGGAAATATAAGACCAATAGCCTAGTGGCCATCTTAGTAGCATTCCATATGCATGCCAATTCATGTCCTTGCTGCTCCACTCTGTGTTTATGGCCTGGGAAATCAGTAGAGGATGGCCCAAAGTCATCGGACCCTGCACCGTTGTGGGAGGAAGAGTCTCCTGGTTCCTGGTTTCAGCTCAGCTCAGCTCAGCTCTGGCTGTTGTGACCACTTGGGAAATGAATTAGCGATGGAAAGTCTTTCTTTCTGTTTCTCCTTTTCTCTGTAAATCTGCCTTTCTAATCAAAATAAATAAATATTAAAAGAAAAGAAATATAACGTCCAGTTCTTTATTTTAGCCTGAAACTTGGGCCATGGAATGTTGGTGCTACAAAGCTCAGAGCTGTACAGACTGTGAGGCTGTGATGATTTAAAGGTGATATTAGCACAGCTGGTATTCTGTGCAGTTTCACATGTCTATCATTATTGTTGGGGCTGGGTGGACATGGAAGACAGTAACGTGCAATTCTTTGACTGCTTTGGCAACTGAATGAGTAGCTTTCCATGACGTCTTTGGGGGTAACTCAACGAAGGTCAAGGAAAGTTCCTGAGAGATGAAACCTTGGAGTCAGATCTTCTGGCCATCCTAAAGACTTTAGAGCCCAGAGCCCTAGATTCAAGTTTGGGTGACAGCATTTCAAGGATCATGTTGTGCTGGTGCCCATTCTTTGGTTTTCATAGAATGATCTCCGAGCTAATTTGAGTTTGAGTTGATCATGATATAACATAATCCCCAGTCTAGATTAAAACCCATGAAATTCTCCCTAGCCAAACCACAGAGCCTTGGATGAGTGCTGTGAGCAAACTGCTTGCTGTTTCAATGAGAATGAATGATAAAACCAAAGTCTTCTCTAATTCGCATTGAGAAAACATGCTTCTTTGTTGCTTTGTATTCATGTTTGTGTACGAGCTGGGAAGAAGGAATCATAAGCCAGTGCTTCTGCTTGGTTATGAAAACAGATGAATAAGCTTTGAGACAAATAAGATATAAAACCCAGGTACTCTCCCTCCGTCTCTGCAAGAATTCAGGGAACAGTGGTAGAGGTGAGATTTTCCTTTGCGCTGTTCGACAAAGTAGAATTCAAGGAGCATGCACGTAGTGTTGTCTGACAGTTCTGGTCTGATCCCTGATGCTAAAGCAACAGCCAAGCCTGAGAAATGCTGCGAGGACATGGGGAATTTGCGGCATGTGGATGCCTCAGTACCAATGCCCGCATTTTCATGTAGAATGTGTCAAAGTTGCATTTGCCTGCAGTACTTTTATAAGGGTGTGGGCATTTGAATCAATATCTCATTGTAGAGGTGCCGTAAAAGATATTCAGTGGAACCTCTCAAGTGATGTTGGCTTCTTATCAGTCTCTTTTATTCCAGATGATCAGCTGAACTCAGAGGAAAAGAAAAAGAGAAAGCAGCGCAGGAACAGGACAACTTTCAACAGCAGCCAGCTGCAGGCTTTGGAGCGTGTCTTTGAGCGGACACACTACCCCGATGCTTTTGTGCGAGAGGATCTTGCGCGCCGGGTGAACCTGACAGAGGCCAGAGTGCAGGTAACTCATGCTGTGGGAAGTTGGCAAGAAGTCTTCCTCCTCCGAGGAATGTCTCCGACGACTGTTGAAATATACTGGTTGTAGGTTTTAGATCAGAGCTGCGAGTACGAAGTGTTACAAAGAGGAAGCCTGAAGACAGAAGCTATTTTCTAGGAGTTTCTTGGTGCAGCATAGTATCTTTAAAATTCAACATGAATGTCTTTAGATAGGACAGAATATTCTGGACTGTTGTTCCATCTCCTTCCCATTGTTTCTTGACCCTTTGAGGTTCACATCACACAGAGTGTCACCTGAGCATTTGAGTCTACACTGGCTCCTTTTCCTTGGGCTCTGGCATGGTGAGAGAATAACTCTGTCCCTCACCTTGGCTTTCCTCTCCAGCAATCTGGCATGGCATCAGCCTTTAAGAAACGTGTCATAAGTACACGTGGTTATGAACACTGGTGGGATTAAGCGTGTTCAAAGAGTAGATGATTTTATTTATTCCCACAATGTCTGTAAACAAAAGCTAAGGTACGTGTAAGACAGGACCAAACCAGAACAATTCTAACATGAATGCCATGCAGCAACTAAAGGCTACACTTCTAAAAACGAATATAAATCTTAATTAGTAACAACTATAATAGAAGTATATATAACTTGAGCTCTACGTGCTAACTAATATTCTATTTTAAAAAGATTTGTTTATTTTTATTGGAAAGGTAGATATACAGAGAGTTGGAGAGACACAGAGGGAGACCTTCCATTTGATGGTTCACTCCCTCAGATGGCCGCAACGGCCACAGCTGAGCCCATCCAAAGCCGGAGCCAAGAGCCACTTCTGGGTCTCCCACACGGGTGCAGGGTCCCAAGGCTTTGGGCTGTCCTCGACTGCTTTCCCAGGCCGCAAACAGGGAGCTGGATGGGAAGCAGGGCTGCCAGGATTAGAACAGGCCACCATGTGTGATCCTGGTGCACGCAATGCGAGGACCTTAGCCACTAGGCCACTGCTCAGGCCCAGTAATATTCTTTAGAATCCCCACACCAGTCCATTGACCTGGATAGTATCCTTCATTTTTTAGATAAGGAGACAGAAGTACAGAGATTAAAGCCTTTTGTGCAGTGGCATACAGATAGAAAGTGGCTGAAATGGATCTGAACAAATATATATATATATCCAGAGTGCATACTTTTAATTTCTACAGTGGACTTTGAATAGATGAATCTCTTAGCTAGATGCTTTTCCGAGGAGTGCTTTGTTATCTCTGTTGAAATTCTTAAAGTGGAGTAGCCAGTATTTTTTAATCCAACTTTGTTCCACATTTAAGTCACATTCTTTCCACTGCAACACTCGCAGAGCAGGTGATATCAATGTTGCATCTAGAATTTGATGTAATTCTTGCAGAGATGTGGGAGGGGGTCATAGGCAGAGGGGAATTTGATGTAATTCTTGCGGAGATGTGGGAGGGGGTCATAGGCAGAGGGAGCTTCTGGTGTTCGTATATACAGGAAATAATCTGACACATTCAGAATTTTCAGGTAGTCTGCTGCTCAGGTTAGGAAGAGGAACAAGAAGACCAGGGCTTGGGGTTAGAGATAATTCCTGAACAACATCTGCTCTGTGACAAGAAGTTTGGATTTGTTTTTGGAGGAATGGGGAGTGAGCAAAAGGTGAAGTCAGGGCACTGATGCAACTGAATCCACATTTCTTTTTTTTTTTTTAAAAAAAGATTTATTTATTTATTGGAAAGTCAGATACACAGAGAGGAGGAGAGACAGAGAGGAAGATCTTCCGTCCAATGATTCACTCCCCAAGTGAGCGCAACGGCTGGTGCTATGCCAATCCGAAGCCAGGATCCAGAAACTTCTTCTGGATCTCCCACATGGGTGCAGGGTCCCAAAGCTTTGGGTCATCCTCGACTGCTTTCCCAGGCCACAGGCAGGGAGCTGGATGGGAAGTGGAGAAGCAGGGAGCTGGATGGGAAGTGGAGAAGCGGGGAGCTGGATAGGAAGTGGAGCTGCCGGGATTAGAACTGACAACCATATGGGATCCCGGTGTGTTCAAGGTGAGGACTTTAGCTGCTAGGCCACGCTGCCGGGCCCCTGAATCCACATTTCAAATAATGACTCCAACCAAGTTGTGAAGGGCACATTGGAAACCGAAGAGCTGGTGGTGTGAGAAGCCAGGGAAAACCTGCCCAAATTCCACCTTCCTGATGCCCCAGCCCACAGGATATTCATCATATGATGGTTCATGTGGCTCCCTAGGTCTGTGCAGGCATTACTCTACACCACAGAATGGCCATCTTGCACATTCTATCATGCATTTTTATAGTTGCAGCTAAAATACTTATTTTGCATCTTGTCAAATGTGGTGTCTCCCATTAGTATATCATGTGCTACTGAAAGGCAGAGATTGGATTTCTCTCTCAGTCTCTCTCTCTTTCCTACCAGCATTTAGATCTGAGCCTGGACTCCAGCAGACATTCCATAAAGATTCTTTGAGTTCATGAATGGGTAAAATTCCACCAAGGTCTGGGAGGGTTGTTGAATATGATACACTGTCCTTGAGTTCAGAACCTTAGCTTTATTTGCGAATGTCAGCAGATAACTCAATCTCATGGAACCTGTCTTTTCTGAAATAGAAAGAGTGAGGCCTTCCACGTAGCATTTTCAGGATTGCCGGAAGTAATGTGTGTGAGATGTGTCTGTACAAATTTCTATTACTGCAGCACTCAGTCATGACAGAATTATTGCTGTTAGCAGCAGCAGTTGCTGTCAGTGTTGCCCATTTTCCCTGGAATGGACAACGTGCAGTTTAGTCAACGTCCAGCCTTTCCAATTTGGATTACTCTGCTAGAGTTTCTTTCTAGAACATCAAGAGACCATCCTGCCTTCTAAAAGTGCGGGAGCATTTTGAGACAGACTTGTTTTATTTGTTGCCAGGTATCCATGACACACATTCATCTCATCTGTCTCTCATCTGTCAGGGAGACAAGTCGACCACCTGCACTCCATTGGTCCTGGCTTTTGCAGGTGCAGCGGGACTGAGCCACCGCGGAGGCAGCTGGGTTGCTAGCATGCTCTTTGGTGGTTGCATTGTCTTCAAAATTATTTCCTAAATCTCTTAACATTATTTCTTGCACTCCCCAAATAAAATAGTTCCTTCTTAAATCTCTATTGGAAAGTCTACTTCTAGGGAAATGGACATTTTCTTGAAATACCTACATTATGAAAGCTCACGAAGTTTTCACATCTTGAAGAACTTTTAAAGAAAACAAACTTGTAGGAAAGTCTTTGTGGTACCAGAGTGATGAGATTTCTTCTTCCTTTGTTTTGGTTACAGCTACAACTGGGATTATAATCTGCATTCCGCCATCTGTGATTAAGTTACAGATCTGACCCCAGAGCTGTGATTGCAAAGTACTTCGTAATGCCTTCCAAAAAATCAACCCTTTTTTTTTAAAAAAAAAAAAAAAGATTTATTTATTTATTGGAAAGTCAGATATACAGAGAGGAGGAGAGACAGAGAGGAAGATCTTCCATCTGATGATTCACTCCCCAAGTCAGCGCAACTGCCAATGCTATGCCAATCCGAAGCCAGGACCCAGGAACTTCTTCCGGGTCTCCCACATGGGTGCAGGGTCCCAAAGCTTTGGGCTGTCTGCGACTGCTTTCCCGGGCCACAGGCAGGGAGCTGGATGGGAAGTGGAGCAGCCGGGATTAGAACCGGTGTTCGTATCAGATCCTGGCGCGTTCAGGGCGAGGACTTTAGTCACTAGGCCACGGCACCGGGCCCCGAAAAATCAACTCTTATAGCTCTGGCTCAAGGGCCACAGAGGAAGCAGTATGGTGTCTTTTGGTTCTTCGGAAGGATTCCACACCATTCTGTTTTCCTCAGAAAGGTTTTATAGAGTAAAAACAAGCATTCATGTAACCCCCCTCTTGTTTATTCTTTCTTTCTTTTCTCCTCTCAACAACCTTCCAGGTGTGGTTTCAGAACCGAAGAGCCAAGTTCCGCAGGAATGAGAGAGCCATGCTGGCCAATAAAAATGCTTCCCTCCTTAAATCCTACTCAGGAGACGTGACTGCTGTCGAGCAGCCCATTGTACCTCGTCCTGCTCCAAGGCCCACCGACTATCTCTCCTGGGGGACAGCCTCTCCTTACAGGTGAATGACTGGTCCACTCTCCCTTGCTCCACTTCCACACATTTCTCAGCGGTCCGTCACGTTCAAAGCTGCTTCTGTGGCAGGCTGACATTTCTTACTGGGTTGATCTCTTCAGAGACATTCAACTTTCTGACATTCCCAAATGCCCACAACATATTCTTAGTGGCCCCAGGAGCAGGGTTTGGGGCAGAAGAGAGAGAGGGGCAGGCCATCAGCAATCCCTTCTCGGACTCAGGAACTTTTGCAAAGGTTTCAAAGATGGGGAAGAATCTAAAAAAATAAACTATACCCAGTGTCCCTCTTGCAACTTTCTGCAACAAAATTTCATTCCATTTCCAAATTTGAGATAGACTTGTTTTATTTTGCTTATGTAGGGATACTTGTAAGGCTCTAAGTATAGAGCTAAAGACCAGATTCATGGTAGCAATGATTTCAGATTGAAATAAAAGAAGGATGGAGCCATGGAAGGAAGGAAGGAAGGAAGGAAGGAAGGAAGGAAGGAAGGAAGGAAGGAAGGAAGGAAAGAAAGTAAGTAAGTAAGCAAGCAAGCAGAAAGGAAGGAGAGTAGGCAGGGAAATAAGGAAGGTTGGAAAAAGAGAGGAAAAAAGAAATACTTAAATTCATTTTAATTGCCTTCATGACCACAGCTCTTTGCTGATACAACTTGTCTTCTTCAATTCTTTTCTCCTTTACTGAAATTTTCTTTGGGGGATCAATTTGTGTGTGTGTGTGTGTGTGTGTGTGTGTGTGTATCTTTTCAATAAATGAATGTATAAAACACAACAACCTTTTATAGTTACAAGGTGAAAAGCTTTGAACAATTAACAAAATAATATTTCAACCTCACACAGAGGCTTTTCACCTCCATTTATTATGCTATCCAGTAAATACAGGTTAAGGCCAGAGGGGAGCTGAGACACAAGTTCCTGACGTGTTGTGATCCAGTTAGAGTGATTTTTTTTTTTAACTTGGACTTGAGTATGCTTAGAAAAAGCCAAGGCTATATATTTTTGTTGGCTCATTTCATATTCACAAAATGCATTTATTACACTTTGTATACCTTGTTACTGTTAATACAAATTACTGGCTAAAGGAAAGGCTTTTATTTTAGTTACAGGTGATCATGTCACAGCAAAAGCTGAATTCCTGAATTGCTGATTGGTGATAGGCAAATGTTTTTCAAATATGGATAGTATACCTGATTGTTCTTCCTATTCCAACTCTATCCCAGGGGATTTTTTACTTGCCTGAATTACATTGGTCTTGGTACACAGAGACTCCATGAATGGGAAAAGCCATTCATCTCAAACATGATATGTCTTGCTGATTATGAAAGATCGGTTAGATCTGTGTATTTTTTAAAAAAAATTAGAGTCCTTTCACATAAGTATTTTGAAGACCATTGCTAAATTGCGTATTCTTTAGTATCTTAAATAACTGGAAGTTTGCTTCAATTCTCTTCTGTATCTTGGTAATCTCTACAGTTAGTAAATAGCTTACAAAGCAGATGTGTAGCTCAATGCCTCATGCTTCAAGATCTCTGCTTTGAGTTTTATTATAACCAGGAACTGTTGCTCCTTTTTTCTGCATGAGTCCTCATTAGGAGATTTTCACCCTACATGTCTAGAGTCCAAATGACTGCCATGGGGTCCTTAGCGGTGAGAGACTGAGCATAGCACACTGCGTGAATGGGATGAGCTTCTTCCCAAGTTAGTTACCTGAACCTCGGTTCAAGCCTCAGTGCCCCATCGTGTATTATTCACATGGGCATCTAACTGCAATTATACACATGGCAACTTGACTGTGCCTGTTTTGGAGGGAAATATTCTATTTTAATGGGACTTGTATAAAAATGCTGGATGCATTTTTAAAAATACCCTTAATTCCACAATCTCTATATAACTAATGTGTTCACTTTTGTGATTATAGTTCAATATTTTATATAGGTGTAGTTTTAATGTACATATTGTTTTGTATTCATTCCATTTAAACTCATATAACTTAGTGTCTTATACTCACTTCATGGTATACTTCAATATCACCTCTCTCTTAGATACAGTTTGTAAAAATTTCTTAAGACAGTATCATAGACTCTGTTAATACTTTGCATGAAGAATAAATTAAACTCCAAATATCATCAGAAAAATACGGTCTAAAATGCTAATTTAACCAGTGATATTTCTTTAGACTCAATGGTGACTGAAGTGTTACTAGTTCGGTTAATTTCTAAATCTGGTGAAAGTGATACTGTTACTTGTAGACTCTTCTGATCTGTTTAAGAACAAAATACATTATGATATTGATAGGAAATCTACATCGTATTAAGGAAGTATAAAAGAATGACAACTCACAAAGCAAGAAAACAATAGACCTTTTGTACTATGGAAACTGACTGACCATTTCTTTTATATCATTGTGTCAACTTGCTTATCTTACATGTGACATTTATTAAAAGTCATCTCTGCTGGTTAACGCTTGGATCGCTGCTGTGTGCTAGCTGTGTCCCCGTTCCAGTTCGCACGAAGAGGACACTGATCATCTGCCTATTTCAGACTCCGAGAAGCAGAGTTAGACCTTGTACTTGGGATCCCTGTTTCTGTCCAACCTATCAGGACACATGATTGTGTATTTTTGTGAAAAATCAAAACTTGCATTGTAATGAATGTAGTAAAATGTATCAGATTTGAAAATTATCTGAGCCTCTTTGTGACTAAGGTCTGTTTCAGATCAGTGATGTGTCCCTTGATGGAGGTCCATAGTCCAGGATATCCGGGCATCCCAATGGGATGATCCGTGTGACTTGGCCATGCAGCTGAAGGACAGTGAGCAGAGAGTTCTGGCAGAAAACTGGTCTGCTGACATCATGGCTGTGTCTTGAAAGAAGGGGAGGGGAAGCTGGGTTCAAAAGCAGTAATCGTGTTTTGGCAAAATTGTGGGTGGGAAAGAGTGAATACCTTTTTTTTCTGAGTGTCTTTACATCCAGAGTGGTAACCATATTATTGATATCCACACTGGAACATTTTTAAAAGTGCAAAGAGAGTGATATTTCTAATTACTGGAGGACAATAGGTATAATCCAAGATTGCTTCTAGCAACCTGAGTCGTGTGGACCACTGTAATGGTAGCGCATTCTGGTCTGAGTCGTGTGGACCACTATAATGGCAGCACACTCTGGCCTACTTTAATCCCTTGCACATGTCAGAGATGATGGCGTCAGGGAGCAGAGCATTCCCTAACACGGACACCACTTATCTTGGAAGGTGTCTTCTTCTTCTTTTTAAAAGTCAGACTTCTTTACTTGAAATTCAGAATGATAGAGAAAACAGGAGAGACAGTGGGAGACAGAGAAAGGGGTCTTCCATCTGCCGGTGAGCTCCCTGAGTGCTCACAGCAGCTCAGGTTAGGCCAGAGAAAAGCCAGGAAGCCGGAAGTCCATTGAATCTCCTTCATGGTTGGAAGAAGCCCAAGTATTTTGGACATCATCTGGTGCCTCCCAGGAGCGTTAGCAAACATCTGAATCAGAAGCGGAGGAAGGACTTGACCCTGGGCCCCCAATATGGGATGCAAGCATCCTAAGTCGTATTTGAATCCGTTGTGCTGCATGCTCACCTCTAGAGGTGTCTTCTTTATCTTCCTGTGGCTAGTTGAAAGAAGTTGGCCTTGGACATAAACCCATTAGTTAGCTCAGACCCATTTTCCTTGGGCAAATAGTGATTTGCTAATCTTGTAATGCTTTGCCTCTTGGGTAGCAGTGATCAAATGCTTAACGTGTGCTTTCTATTGGGCATGAGGCAGCCAAGAAATCCTTCCCAGAATCTTCCTTGTCTATGAGAGGCAGATAACGGATGGCCTGGCTCTGCAGTGTTGGTCTGCAGTGGCACCTCCAGAGGGAGGGCTGGATTTCAAAGAAAACCAGTAACAAGGGACAGAGAGGCCAACCTCCCTTGCACAGTTTCCCTCCCCCATTCTTCTCCTTCCCCCCACTTCGTTTGATCGTGGACACGGTGCTGCCTGACATCTGCTGAACGCATTTGGCTCATTTCTCCCTTTCACACTTTCAAAAATAGATCCTCGTCCCTCCCAAGATGTTGTTTACACGAGGGGCTTCATAACGGATTCTAACGGAAGACACTGAAAAGGTAAACTTGTCAGAGGGGGAAGAGGGTGGCTGCTGGGGGTAGGGTTTAAGTGGGAATTTAAGTGTGTTTAAGAAAGTGGGGTTGCAGTTCTAGAAATGTAAGCAGTGAGGTCCTTGAGTGGGGAATTCTGTTGGAAACCGGAGCTACAACAAAAGATATCCATAAAATGAAGAGCGGTGTGTTAGGCAGGAGTAGGATTCCTCTGATTGCTTCACACACGGATTCCTCAGGGTCACGTTCGCCAAGCAGACTCTGATTCACTAAGCGTACTTAAAGTGGGCTGCGGCTCTGAGGCTTCGCCTTGTTCCCTGATCATGGGGACGCTGCTGCTGTTTGATTTTGGCATACACGTTGAGCAGCGAGGTTTTAGATGACTGCATTTTAGGAGATACAAGAAGAACGCTCTTTTTGTCTGGCTTCCTCGTGCTTTTCAGGCTAGTGGGAACACTGCACCGGGAATAGTTTGCAGGTATATCATAGGGACATTTGGAAAGAAAGTGATATGTATTGAAACAGATCAACACCAGAAAAGATACAAGAGGTTTTGTATTTAAAAATATTTCCCATAACACTGTGTCACATAATGCAATGCAATTAATAAAAATAAATTTTAAAAAAAGAATATTTCCAGAAAGAAAAGTTAAACATAACAGAAGAGTCATTGGTCAGGTAATGCAAGCTGAAGGTTTATTGATAATATGTGGTCCCAAACGTGTCCACATGAAACCCAAGAATACCTTAAGAATCATCTTCTCAATTTCAAACGCGGAAGTTCTATATGAGTATTTATATTACACAAGATCACTTCCAAAGAACTTACAGAAACTCACTTTGAAAAGTAAATTGTCTAGCAAAAATGAT